AATGGCGACTCAGGTAGAAGAAGACGGTGATGATATGGATTTGAGTGGTTGGTCTCATGTTGTTAGTGGAAGAGGGAGAGGTAGAAACCGGCGAGAAAGTGAAAGTTTGTTTGGGACACAAATGAGTAAAAGAACGTTGGAAGAAAACAGTTCGGATGTGTTCTCCTGTAGTTAGGAAAAAGACTTTTAGAGAGGAATTCAAAATAATTCTTAAATTTAAAGAAGAGGAACAAAACATTCAGATTGGGCCGATAGCATCATCCAGAGAGCTTAAGAAAAAGATTGGAGACATTTCATTTGCGAAAACCCTCAGAGACGGTAGTGTAATGATTATATGCAAAACAGAAGAACAGAAAAACAGAGCGTTGAACATAGAAAGCATTTGCAGAAAAAATGTGAAAGAAAAAAGGATTATTGGAGAAAAGAAAGTAATGAGGGGAGTGATAACAGGAATACCTGTAAAGGCATTCAGGATGTGGAGGTAATTCAGATAAAGAGATTGTTTAAAACGATAAATGGTGAAAGAGTTGAAAGTCCATCAGTAATGATAGAATTTCAAGAAAATATACTTCCAGAAAGGATTAAGATCGGATTCATTAGCTTTCCAGTTAGGCCTTACATTCCTCCACCACTCAGGTGCTACAAATGTCAAAGATACGGGCATATAGCGGCAGTATGTAGAGGCAAACAAAGGTGTCCAAAATGTGGAGGTGATCATAAATATGAGGAATGTGGAGAAAATGTTCAAGTGTTGTAATTGTGGGGGCCAACATCGAGTGAGTTTTGGGGGGTGTGAAGTTGGAAAGAAAGCCATTGAAGTGGAAAAAACTAAGACGAGCAACAATATCAGTTATGCTGAAGCTGTAAAAAGGGTGAAAGGACAGGCTGAAAGGAGGCAGATAAAGGTTCAACAAAAAAACAATCCTCAGATAACATCTACAGAGAGAACTGAACCTGTGATTACAGTCGAAAAGATTATGTTATTTATTGCATATGTGATTAATTGTGCAGATCAGGTCAAGTACAAAACCGAGAAAATTAAAATAATGGTAAAAGGAGCGGAGAAGTTCTTCGGAATCAAAGATATTTCATGGGAGCATATTAATAAAGAACTGGGAGGAGATGGGAAGTCAGGGACATCAGGAGAAAGAACACTTTGATAATATTACAGTGGAACGCACGGAGTTTAATAGCTAATGGACAAGAATTTAAAGGATTCATTAAAAATCTTAGGAAAAAACCAGACATCATATGTATACAGGAAACCTGGCTTAAACCTAATTTAGATTTTGTTATTAAAGGATATACTGGTGTACGTAGAGACAGAAATGAGATTCAAGGAGGGGGTTGTATGATATTTCTAAAAACAGGAATTCAGTTTAGATTATTAGCAAAAGGAGTTCAGTTAGAGTATATAGTTGTAGAGGTTTGGTATAAGAAGGAAAGTATTAAAGTAATACATTTTTATAATCCTGGGAAAAGGATCCAGTATGAAACATTGAATGAATTTGATAATTTTTTAAATGGAAAGGTTGTTTGGTGTGGTGATTTTAACGCACATAGTTCGTTATGGGGCAGTAAAAATGATTTAAATGGAATAGTTATTGAAGAATTGATGGAGAATAAAAATCTTGTATGTTTGAATGATGGAAGGGGTACAAGGGTTGATATAAAAACAGGTAGAGAATCGGCGATAGATTTAACAATAATTTCAAATTCGTTGGCAGGTGTAAGTTCATGGCAAATAATTAAAGAAGAAACAATAGGAAGCGATCATTATCCTATAGTGACAGAAATAAACTTGGGTATTGAAAAGTATAAGGTGGGGGGTTCAAAGAAATGGTGTTTCAGTAGTGCCAATTGGGAAAAGTTTAGATTTATAAGTGAGCTTGAACTGGGAAAAATTAATTTGAACATGGAAATTGATCATTTGAACTTCTATGTTTGTGATGTCATTTTACAAGCTGCTAATGAATCCATAAAGAAAAGAGAAGGTAGGATCCATAGGCAGATTGGTCCTTGGTGGACAAAGGAATGCAATAGAGTAATCAAAAATCGTAATAAAGCTTTTAAAATGTTAAAGAGGAACCACAGTGTACAGAATCTTATAGAATATAAAAGATGTCAGGCTCTTGTAAGAAGAACTATAAATAATGCAAAAAAGGATTGTTGGAGGAAATTTGGAATTCGGTGGGAAGAGAAACAGAGATTAATAAAGTATGGTCAATGATAAGAAGAATGAATGGTATTAAAAGAGAATATGGTTATCCAGTCCTGAGTGATGGTGAAGTAGTAGCAGTTAAGGATGAAGAAAAGGTGGAAATGATGGCAAAGACTTTTATTAAAATAAATAGCTCAGATAATATTACTCTGGAAGGAAAAAGGGGGAGAGAAATGACAATATTAGAAAATAGACAGATATGAGAGAAGACAGAGAATTTGAATGATTTGTTGAATGTTCCTTTCACAAAATCGGAATTAAATCGAGCACTTCAGACAGTTAAATTAACAACACCAGGGAAAGATCAAATTTGTTATTTAATGTTAAAGCATCTTAGTGAAACATCTAAAGAAATTTTATTGGAATTTTATAACAAAGTTTGGGAAAACGGAAAATTACCAAAAAGTTGGAAAGAGGCTGTAATAATACCAATACGTAAACCAGGGAAAGATGATACAAAACCTGAAAATTATAGACCAATTGCATTAACCTCAAATGTTTGTAAAATAATGGAGAAAATGGTTAATGAAAGAATGATTTATTATATAGAATCTAATGGATATTTATCAAAATATCCATTAGTGGTTTTAGGAGGGGTAGGAATACTATGGATGCAGTTTTGAGTTTGGAATTTGAAATCAGAAAAGCTCAAATTAGTAAAGAAAGTATTGTAGCAGTGTTTTTTGATATTGAAAAGGCATATGATATGTTGTGGAAAGAAGGTTTATTAATAAAAATGTTAAAGATGGGAATTACTGGTAGGATGTATTGGTGGATCAAAGATTTTCTAACTGAAAGACAGATACAAGTTCAAATAGGTAAATATCATTCTGAGAAATATATTGCTGAAAATGGTACTCCACAGGGAAGTATAATAAGTCCTTTATTATTTTCGATAATGATAGATGATGTGTTTCAAAATATAGATAATGGAATGGGTTTTTCTCTTTTTGCTGATGAAGGGGCAATGTGGAAGAGAGGGAGGAATTTGGAATTTATTACTAAAAAGATGCAGCAAGCAATTGTTAAAGTTGAAGAATGGTCATTAAAATGGGGATTTAAATTCTCAGTGGACAAGACTAAAACAATGTTCTTTTCAAGGAAGAAATTTAATGATGGTAAATTAAAATTATATAATCAAGAAATAGAAAGAGTGAAGCAATTCAAATTTTTAGGGGTTTGGTTTGATGAAAGAATAACATGGAATATACACATTAAAAAAATTTTAGACAAATGCAAGAAAGTAATAAATATTATGAGATGCTTAATTGGTAGAGAGTGGGGAGCAGATAGAGTAGCACTAAAGAATATATATACAGGATTAATTCGATCGATGGTAGACTATGGAAGTATTGTGTATAATTCAGCAGCAGAGACAAATCTTCAAAAACTGGATCGGATTCAATATCAAGCATTGCGATTATGTACAGGAGCAATTAAAACTACTCCAACAGCAGCATTGTTAGTAGAAATGGGAGAAATCCCACTTGCATTTAGAAGAGAGCAATTAACATTAAACTATTGGGCTAATTTAAAAGGTCATAGAAATGATCACCCAACTCTGCAAGTAATAAAACCCTGTTGGGAAAAAGAAGTAAAAGAGATTAGAAGTTTTGGTTGGACTGTGCAGGAAAAAATAACAGAATTCAAAATAGATCAGATTAGTATAAGCCAAACAGTTCCATTATCAGTTATACAACCATGGACAATTACAGATGTTAGGGTAGATTTTACTTTGTTGGAAAGAAGAAAGGATAAGAAATTCATATTAAACTCATATATAGTACAGGATTATATTAATCAATATTATAAGTATGTACAAATTTATACAGATGCCTCTAAAAATATAACAAATCAAATAGGAGTAGCCTTTATCGTACCAGAATTTAATGTTAAAATTAGGAAAAGGATAATTGATGGACTTTCAGTTTATACCGGAGAAATGATTGCAATATTATTAGCTGTTCAATGGGTGGAAGAAGTTAAGCCATTAAGATCAGTCATATGTTCAGATTCTAGTTCATCTTTAATTAGTTTGCAGTATAGTCACTCAGAAAGCAGGCCAGATATTTTAATAGAAATTCAACAGACACTATATAGAATAAATATGATGGGTTTAGTTATAAATTTTGTATGGATACTGGCACATTATGGAATTAAAGGAAATGAACAAGTAGATAAGGCAGCAAAAGAAGCTGCAAAAAATGTGTCAGTAGATTTATTTGTTAATTTTAGCAAATCTGAAGTTAAAATGTTAATTAAACAGAAAATAAAGGATAAATGGCAAAACGAATGGGAGAAAGGAAATAAAGGACGTTGGTTTTATAAAATTCAAAAGAAAATTGGAGAAATGAGAAGAACAGAAAGAACAAGAAGAGAAGAAACAATAATTTCTAGATTGAGGTTTGGTCATACCGGATTAAATGGTACTCTGTTTATCTTAGGAAAACATAGGAATGGGAAATGTGAATATTGTGGGGTAGATGAAACAGTTGAGCATGTGATGTTATACTGTAACAAATATGAGGAGGAGAGAAAGCAATTCATTCAAAATTTGAGTAAAGTAAAAGTTAAATTAGATTTAGTTCAATTATTCAGAAGTTATTCAGATAGTAATATTTACAGTATAGTATTTCGATATCTAAAAATAACACATTTATATAATAGAATTTAATTCCTGAGAGTCATTCTGGTCCACACTCCATTCCAGTAGATGGCGGAAATGCATCTATCTGTTGTTTGCCAACCGCCAAAAATATCAAAGAAGAAGAAGAAGACCCAAATTGCTCCACAGATGCTACAGCCAACGCTGCTCCTCGCTGTGGCTTCTCTGTTTTTGACACTCCACCGCTGCTTAATTTACTCTAATGCCTTCACCATAGATCACTTTAGCTTCTTACAACTCGGTAAGTTTGTTTTCATCTCTTGGCTCATGCTTGATTGTTCATTCAAACTTACTGATAACTTAAATAATACCGCAGATTTACAACTCATAACCTGGTGGACATTCCCTATATCCTCTCCCAAATCATCTACTCATCGGTGAGTTAAAGTATATTATTTTTATTCCTTATTTTGAGTTTGTGATGCTGCAGTACACCGGTTGCATGCTACGCTAACAGGGGTAGTTAATATAGCTCCCAGACACGCCCACAGCTTCACCCAGACTTTATTTTTTGATTAATTCAGAGGGAAACTTTTCCCCAACCAAGAAGCAGTAAGATTTTTCCCAAGCAGTAAATATATTGGTCATACATTATTTTATGCTTTGGGTTAATTATAGAACTTTGTTTGGAACTTTTCCAGCCTTAGAAACCATGGTTCTTTTTTGTTTAAATAGATCTGATTGTTTATTGATATGTGTTGCGCAATACAATTAAAATGGAACTGTTGAAATAATTTGGGTTTTTGTTGACCCATGATTTCATCTTTGAATAAGTGCACTTTAATTTAACTTGAGATATTTAGAAACATTGAAGCTTCATAAAGAAATCTTGTTTATTATTTAAATTATTTGATGTGTCTTAGTGCTGTGATTTATGGCATAACTAACTGACTTATTGTTTTTATTTATTGCTAAGATTAAATTTATTGTTTATTATTTTACTAATTTATGATTCTGGCCTGATTTCAGGTCAGGTTTTTTTTGTTGTGTGCTGTTCCTTTGACTGTCCATTGGGTGGCGAGCTACCAGAGAACCACCGATACAGTGTGGTGGGAAAAAGTTCTCACAAACCTGCATCCTCTGATTTTGTTTTCCCAATGGACATCATGAACTGTGAACCTTCTACTAATTGAACTGAAGAGTTTAATTTTTTTTTTTTTTTTGCTCTTTTGATTTATCCTGTTGGAATATATTTGTTTTTTTGTTTGTTTGTTTTTTTTTTCCTTTGAAATTATATTGATTATCACATTTGTGTGTGTATATTCTATTAATTCATATCCATATAAATCATATAATATAGCTCATTAACATGTATATGTAACCCATACTCTTTCTATTAGAAAATAAATATACAACAATTAATCATAATTTTCTTTCTTGTGCTTCACACCCCTTGACTCTATAGCTGAATCTACTTCTGAGCTCATTTTGCAGTCAGCCAAGCCCAAGTGTTACACCAGGAGGTCAGAGATCAGGTGAATTGCAGAAGGAGAATCCAGGACGGAGACGGGTTACCTTCCAGGTACAGTTAACAAGCAGGCAGAGATCAGGCAGGAGTCAGAAGACAGGTCAGGTAAACATATCAGAAGGGAACAGGTAGGCTCAGAGGTTGAGAGGCAGAACAGGACAGGATCAGGTAATCAGAATTCAGGAACGCTCGAATAAGTCTCACCAGCAGCTCAAAATAATGTGGCACCGATGACTGGTCTAAAGGTTTTTTTATATAAAGACTACTGCAGGTGTATCAGATGAGCGGGTAATGAGAACTGGGCGAGCTAAGTAGGTGTGTGAAATGAGTGATTAGACCTGGCATCATTGCTGAGATCCTGATAATCCCCTATGTATAACTATCAAAGTAGGATCAAATAGAAATAATGTAGCTACATATATGTACAGCTATAATATATGCACATAGTTTTTATTTGATAATGCTGATGGCAGAATAAAGTCTTACTCTATAAGTGACCAAACACAACACTTGTTAAAAAGCTAAAAAGACTGAAGAATGTATTAAAGGAAAAAAATATTTTTGTATGTAAAAATGCACAAAGAGGGCAAGTGCATCACTTGCAATGAAATGGACATTCCGACTTAATGAATAAAGCCAAATTGAAGGTGACTACAGAAATAAAATAGAGATTCTTCTTGTGATGTTTGGTGTTGAGGTGAGGTGCAATTGGTGGACCATCTGACTGATTGGACAATACCTATGACAAGGTGTCAGTATGGATTCTTTGCCCACTGCAAATAATATCCTGGCTTTCTTAATTTTTTTTTATAACTATGCCATCTGTTGGGATCTGTAGAAGTTCCACCTTTTTCCATCAGAGTTCGCCGTGGATCCTCCTGAGCTGAGCCTTCGACACACCTGAGGCGCATCTCATCATCAGGAGGATCCTCCAGTATATAACCGGCCTTCAGACCTTGCCTCAACGCCGCAGTGTTTATCCAGTTTGGTTAGCACCTGAGCCTAGCTTCTCCTAAGAACCTTTGTTGCTTCTGTCTCCTGGTTGGATCCTAATCCTTCTTTGTCTCTGCTTACAGGAATCCTGTTTCCCTTGTAAGCTCTGGATGAGCTTAACCTGCCGAGCCTGCCCTCTGAGCCAAACCTGAAGACTCTCCTCTGGATTCCCATGCTGCTCTGGACAAAGAGCTGGAAACTCAAAGTCAAGGTCTGCTCTCACGCTAGAAGCAAGACGCTGAAGCGGTTACTGAACTCTGCTGAACTGAACAGTCTCTGGACCCAGCAGTTCCTCTCTCAAAGCCAAACCCGGACTCCTCAAGGTATAAATCAGAAACACTCAAATCCAAACTCATCTGCTCCCAAGCTAACTGAACTGTCATCCTCACAGACTCCAGTGAACCTACCCCCAGGCCTGAACCAGTTCCTGTATGATTTTCCATGTGCTTGTGTTCAAATAAACTTGTTAAACTTTTCATCTGTTTCCGTGGTGTTCTGCATACTGGGCTTTTCTGAAACCCATCATGACACCATCAACCACCATAACAGCTTTGCTAGTAGAGCACATTAGAGAAGTTGGTTGACCACATCATCAAAGTGCAGTACACAAAGTAAAAACAGCATTTTGACATTACAGATACCCCTCTTTCTATAGAGTTGTCCAACTCCAGGCTCTTCAACCCCTACTTTGTCCATTTCAGAAAATGGCATCAGTCTATTGATGCCCCTTTTCTGACATGGACAGAGTACCGATTGGATAGGCCGCAGTTGGCCAACTATATGGAAAGAGGGAAGAAAATGGTGTAATGGGGTTGATGCTGGTTAGAGTAGTCACAAGGGACGGTGACCTGTTGAATCTTAAAGTGGTAGTAGAACTGACTTAGCTAATTTTCAAGAAATGACTTGTTGATGAAGTGGAGGGCTTTGGGTTTAGGTTGTAGTCTGTTTGATTCACGTCCAGACAGATGTGTCATTTGCACAAAAATCATTGTATAGCTGGTCTGAGCACAGTTTTATAGCTTCTCTCACCTTCTTGCTAAACCTGTTCTGAGTTGCCGTTTTTTGCCCCAGACTAGCTGTCTGAGTTTGGCTGTGAACCAGGGTTTATCATTGTAATAGCTCAACCTGGTGGTATACACATTCCTTCACAGAAGCTAATGTTTGATGTCACAGCCTCTGTGAACTAGTATCTGTTCAGACATCCAAGTCTTAATAAGGCAAATAACAGAAGATTCATCTCTTTGTTGTAGTGATGTGTGACTCACTGGATTTCAAGCCAACAGCACATGCTTTTCACCAGGTGGCCAGCGGGTCATCACAGCTCAGATGAATAGGCTCCTGCAGCTGGTGATGTGATTCACTCTGCGCCCAAAGTGAAACTGCTGTACAGTTGCAGTGCTGGTGTGCCACAGAAAGTCACTCACAAGCTGCGACTAGGCTGTCCCAGATGTGGTTGCAGCTGCAGCAATGGCGTTCAGGAGAAAGAAGTTCACATAAATATCCCCTCTCAAATATACATTTTTGTTTGCAGTAGCCATATTACAGTGGACTGATTTTATTCTTAAATTGACAGGAACTTTTGACTGTCTGGCAAATGACTTTTTCGGTTAGTGCATTGTAGGAGCTTGATGCATATATCAGGCCATGTCTGGTGAGGCTTCCATCATTGTGGAAATACCTTGTTGATCTGCACGGTAACCACACCGGCACTTCACCATGGCCAATATGAGTGTAGACATTGATTTTAAGTATTTGGGGTTTTTTGCAGGGCCCACACCCCTACACAGCAGCTGCACCACATTCGGTGTGAGCCCATCGTCAAACTACTCTGAAGTGCTGCAAGGTTGTTAAGCTGAGAAGTTGCTTTTTGGCTTGTTGCTGAAGGTCCTTTTAACTGCACTTGTTTTTTTTTTGTTAGTTTGATGCTTCACTTCTTAAAACTGGAAGCTTTTACAGTTAGCATACATTCACATGGGAAAAACTCTTTGTGCACTTGTATGGTCAGGACCCAAAGCGTATGCACATTGCTATTAGTCAGAAATGACTACAGTAGGACAGAGCAGAAAAGAGAAAATGGAGGAAAATGACTACAGCCATGCCTGCACTGCCTGTTTTGTACATCTATGCTGTTTTTGCAGCTATAAAGTAATTTTGTGTTTCTAGAGCAGCTTAGTTCAGAATCAGAAATACTTTAATAATCCCAGAGGGAAATTACTTTTGTTACACGCTCTAGTTACAGTTTTACATGATATATACACACATCCAACTATACAATATAATAAAGATAAAAAATAAGAATAAAAAGAGATAAAATATATATACACATATAGCTCTTCTATATATATATATCTGTACGTATATCTATGTATATGTAAAAACCTAAATCCAAATAGAGTGAAAAGTCCAATTAAAGTGAATAAATCCAAGTAAGGTGATTCGTGGCGTGCAAAAGTAGTGCATAAATGTCAATTACAGAGGGGGGGGGGGGGTGGCTGAATCACCTGAGGGAGGCGTTATATAGGTTGATGACCACAGGTAGGAATGATTTCCTGTGGCGCTCTGTGGTGCATCTGGGTAGGAGGAGTCTTCTGCTGCTAGTTAAAGTACATTTGAAGATGTTTTATGTTTGATTTTGTGATAATGTTGGAAGATCCATCCTAAAAGCCAAGGGAGGTCCACCCCTTGCTGGCACCAGTGTTGCTAAGTAACAGCCAATGGAATAGATAAGATTATGGTACCATTATTACTATTACAGAGGCTTGCCAAGTCCAAAGAGATCAATCCCTTTGGTGTTTGGGTTAGACAGAAGCCAGTTGGTATTCTTACTTGAAGCAAATTACACTTTAGCCCTTTTGGATGTGGACTTAGATTACCTCAAAAGGTAAATTTCGGTTTTGGTGTTTGCTGAGAGCATTGGACTTTATTCATACCTGCAGAAAAGTGAGGAAATAAAATCTGATTAATTTTAAGCGGAACAAACATGTCAGGTGATGAATAAAACCGTAAAGGTTTAATATGTAAGGCTGAAATAATGCTGAATAGTGCTACATCAAATTCTAAAAAATCAATTTTGAAATGATTATCATTTATACAGTCCCTTGCAAAAGTATTCGGCCCCTTTGAATTTTTCGACCTGTTGCCACATTTCAGGATTGGAACATAAAGGTGTTAAATTTAGTTCTTTTTTGTTAAGAATCAACAAATGGGACACAATCATGAAGTGGACGGAAATCTATGGATATCTTAAACGTTTGTAACAAATAAAAAAACTGAAAATGGCCCCTTTACTTTCAGTGCAGCAACATCTTCAGAAGTTCAGTGAGGATCTCTAAATGATCCAATGTTGACCTAAATGACTGATGATTATAAATACAGTCCACCTGTGTGTAATCAAATCGCTATATAAATGCATCTGCTCACAAACACTCTCCCTATCAAACCTCACTGAGATTGAGCTGTGTAGCAAGTAAAAATGGAAAAATATGTAAGTCTCTCGATGTGCTAAACTGATACAGACATACCCCAAATTTCTTGCAGTTGCGATGGCAGCAAAAGGTGGCGCTACAAAGTGTTAACTCAAGGGGGCCGACTAATTTTGCACACCCACTTTTTCAGTTTTTTATGTGTTAAAAAGTTTCAA